GAATAGTTTTTCATAAATTCTAATTTTTATATAAAAAATTTTTAACAATAAATTAGAGAGAGAGAGAGAGAGAGAGAGAGAGAGATTAATACAATGTATAAAAGAGAACACAATTAATAAGCCTTTTTTGATTAATCTTTTCATAAATGCTTCAATTGTTTCAAAAATCTTATGTTCAATAAAAGTTATTTTGCTTTTACGCTAAGATTTACTTAATTTCAAACATAATCTCTTTAAAGAAAAATTAATTTCACTATTGTTTTCGTTTGAAATTATCTTTTATTCAAATTTTAATTCTATTATGAATTTCTTATTCAATTTTAATCTATTAAATCATAAAATAAAATAAAACCTAACTTTCTCTCTGCATAACTCTTGAATGAAATATAAAAAATGATTTCAATATAAAATGAAATCATGTGAAAAAATTTGAAAAAAAGTTTTCATTTCACTTGTTTTCAAAAAAAATAATACAAATTAAAACCAAAGAATGGATTTCTTTTATTCGTTGCCATAAATCAGGAAAGTTTTTCCAAAAACAGTCACTGAATCATAACTTTCAAACCGTAGACACCCTTTGATATCAAAAAAATCGCTTTTGGTTTCAATTTCGACATAAACTCTATAATTGAAGTTACATTAAGTCTATTTAAGTCTTGAGTCATGAGATTAAAATTGAGTTATTTTGTGAGCATTTTTATAAATACATTGTAACTTATAATTTAGATCTAAAATCAAACAAATTATATGTTTTATTAGATTTATGTACAAAATTGAATAACAATACAAGTTGTATTTTCAAATATTATTTCAAATTTTCTATAACTGAATAAACATTTGAATGGCCTTCTGATTTATTATTTTTTGCTAACATTTTAATAATAAATGCAAACATAAATTAATTTAATAAAATTTCAGAAATAGTGCAAACATTGGTTTTTTGATATAACATTCAGGGCCAAGGATTGCATTCATTTCGCAAATGAATGATTTGAAATAATATAATACTTATCTAACTATATTCTTGAAACAATAAAATTGCATAATTTGATATTATTTTTAGCTCTCATTATTCACATATTATTTTATAAATTAGGAAAAATTATTAATTTTGACAAAATGACAACAATTTCTTTCAACACAGCTATTAATTTAACAAATATTTAAATAATTGTTTGCTCTAAATAAATGTAGTATTTAATTTAAAACTTATCATAGTATTAAATAAATATTATATTTTAAAATTTTAAATATTTTTAATTATTTATTTTTTATGTTTTCAATTTAATTTTAGTTTGAAATATTATAATAAGCATTATGACACATGATAACATGATACAGTATCTACTAAAATAACTTAATCAAAATACAACATAAAAGTTATAAATATCTATCTGTAATAAATAAATATTTATATAAAAACATCTTTTTAATTGATATTTTTGTAGAAATATTTAATTAAAATTATAGCCTTTAGACTAGTAATATAATTAGAATAATAACTATAACAAAAATAGCGAAACATGTAATTTATATGATATAACAATATTTTAGATAATTTTAATGTCAAACAAATTAAACGGTTATCGATCTGATATGCAAATGATCAACAATTTTCATTACCATTAGAATGAAAAATAGCAGCAATTAATAATAAATATAAAAATTTTCATCAAAAATATGGCTTATTAAAAGTATATTAGTGCTGGCATTGAATTATTGATACGATACGGTATATAATATGAAATTGTAATTTAATGAACACTTAGAGAATGTCTTTTAAGTTCATTTGACTGGTTGTTCACATTGTCCTCATTTATCGAGTATTTAAGAATTGTATATAAATTCAATATTGTATATAATATACAGTACTTAACGTGAATGCTAATGAAAAGTGTATGCAATATATTGTAGATATAATGTATTAATGACTTTATTTGGCATTCGTTAATCTCTAAATTTTCATTTTTCATAGAAAATCATTTTTCTTATGAATTTCTCACTTCCGTACACTCTATTTGTTGGCTTATTATTCACACAAAAGAAAGTTTTCTCATAAATACATTTTTCATGAAATATAATTTTTGAACTCAAAAATTGACATCAATTTCATTATTGATTACAGATTATTATATCCAACGTATATGTATTGACACATTAACACAGTGACAGACAAGCGATCGATTTATAAATCATAAAATCGTTAGCAAAATGAATATTTCATATTAAGTAACAAACAAAACATGTCATCAAAACAACAAGACTTACATTTTGAGAGATGACTTTTGTAGTTGTTTTAATTATCTGACGAATTAATATCTCTTTTGTTGTCAAAATAACTTGTGTTTCAGTAATTAAAGCTAACATTTCTCACAAGTAATTGCATTGGACTCTAATTACTGTCAAAACATAAACTTTTATTTCATTTAATTAGAGAATCATTGATAAGAGAAAATTCCTTAAATAGATTTGTGAACCCATTTTTAGCTCAAAATATAATTTGCTTAATATTTTTTATATACAAAATGATATAAAAGATTTAGTTTAGAAAGTGTGTGTGTATATAATTTTGATTTGATTTTTAAATTCAATTTTGAATACATTCATTCATTCATAGCAATTATTGTGAAAATAAAATTAAACATCTTTTTTTTATATTAATACGTAAAGATTAAAGTGAATTATGAGATAAATCTAATTTAAAGCGACAGCGAAACTATAACACTATTAAAATGAGTTTACAAAACAAGATATAAAACTACTTTAAAGAAATTATCATAATTTAAAAGTATATTTTTAATTTTATATTACATTTATATATTTTTAAAAATATTAAATTAGAAAACTTTACAAACAAAACAAAAAAGATAGTAAACACTTAAATAAATTAAAAGTTTTTATTTTTTAAATATTAAAAATACATCATTTAAATATAGAAATCACATCAGGGATAGTTTGGTGGCAATTGTTTCTGAGAGCGTACTTTTATTAACTTATTATAGGTCCATAGTTATTATATGTATAACTTTAATTTACTTTTAAACTTATTTCTAGATATGTCTGAGCCGTAAATATCATCCATTTGTATGGAAACCCATTGACCCCCCGTGTGGTCACTCATGTAATACATAATCTTCCGGTTGTATAAAAACACAATTTAACTCTAAACTATGTATTTATATTTCACACATGTTTCTCACTATCTATGTTAATGCACTTAAAATGATTTCGACGACTATTTGTTTGACTTTTATTCACAAAAAGTAGTTCTCCTTTTTCGGCCCATATTTGCAAAATATAACATTACTTTTATGAACAAAATTGTCATTCGTATCACACGTCTGTAGTAATGGTTAGTCAATCATAAAAGCAGTGAAAACACATTTCGAGAGGTCTTTGAATTCTTGATGAAAACTAGAAATCGTTTTCCATTTCAAACTCAAAATAAACACTTTTATATAGATTTATATCAATTTATATATCACTATATTTAGTGTAATTTTAGCAATGGGATTTATTTTTAAATTGATTAAGTAATAAATTTCACTTAAAAAAAGCAAAAATAAAAGTGAGTTTAATTTAATAAGAACTACAGGTGTGGTAAATTAAGGCATTACAAATTAATTCAAATACATTTCTAACCTAATAATGCAAAAGAAAGTCTATTATTTTATTCATAACGTACTCTAATGTGTATTAAAAGGTCTCAAAGGGTGTAAATTTGTGTTCACTTTCAATGAATGAAAAATACAAATGAAACAAAAAATAATTGTTTTACAAAAGCTTAATAACTATTATTAAATCTCTTATTAAAGAATTAAAATAAATTTTCACTTTTCTCTCAATTAATTAATTAAATGAGTTATTTTAAACATTGCCTTAATTTTAATCCCATTTGATTGAAAAGCATTTTAAAGAATAACTTTTCTTGATTATAATTTAAAAATTATTGTTTTTGTGTAAACATGACTATTATATTATATTTCACTATCTTTTGTCTAATGAATCATTTGATTCATTAAAAATAAGAAAACGTTAACTAAGACTCTCTAACAAACTCTAAGATTATTAGATTCCCTGTGAATTCAAACAGTTCTATGAATTCATTACAAGTTCGCCAAACATCCAAATGTAGGGCACCGGGTGCTGGCGGTGGTTGTTATAAAAAGTTAAGTAATCATAGTAAAGGCGTTTACTTAGACTTAAGTTCTGCATACGTCTGGTTGTAGTTGTTGTGGTAGAAGTAATCGGTCTCACCATTCATACAACAGTGACAGTGATATTCTCGCAGAAAGTATTAGAGTAGACCATTACCTGTGCAATCAGGAAGTGCTCACTTTCCTATACTTATATCATTTTTCTTAGCTTTTCATAAAAATTCAATAACAATTCTTTAGGATATCATCGATAGTTTTGGTAAGTTTTCCAATCATTAATCGTTAAACAATTAAAATAATTATGCATGTTAATAATTAATAAGAATAATTTTCTGTTATTTTTGCTTAAAATTAAAATTTCAATGTTAAGGCAATAAATCAACAATTTTTATATATAAGTTTTTATAGAAGTTAGTACTGTATAGTACAGTTAAAAATTCTCAATTTTATTTGAATACTTTTATTTTCATTTTGAAACCAAATATGAGCTGAAAATTTAATATTTAATAGATTAAATAAATAAATCATTAATAAGCAAATTATGGTTAGAATTATTAAGTGATTAGATTTGTCTCGAATTATATTATGAACTTAAAAACTAAACTTTAAATTTTAATAATAAGAAAATAATAAATTGTTTAAATAAAATTGTTTATCTTTAAATAAATAATTTAGTTTTTTAATGTAGCCTACAACATTATTGTATAATAAAAAAGTTTATAAGAATGCAAACAAATATCACTTTCAGTAAGAGTTTGAGTGAAATTTGTCAGAAATGATTGGGAAATAAAATATAGAAATTAAGAAACTATTAGTGCCTGACTTTAAAGTGTTAGTTAACTCATGAGACGTGTATTTCTAGTGATATAAACCTTAAAATAATTATAATTATGTTCGTAGTGTTGAGTTACGAATAAAGTGTCCGAAAGTGTTACTTAAACACAGATAGGGAGTAAGGATTTGTGTCAGTGAACACAAAATGCATTAATATTAAATATTTGTATATTTTATAGTCATTTAAAATGAAGCTTGTCTTATTGTCGTCATTCGCCATACTATTTGGAGTACAAATTTGCCAAATTTCCGCAAATCATAGGGTAAGACATATCCGGAACTGTTTGGACTAATATAAGTGCATAACTGCCCACATAATTGTTTGGATCAAATCCAAAACCTATTTAATCAGATTTTTGAAGCAATTTTCTTGTTGTCTATAAATTATAGAGCGAACGCCAGGCATCTAATTATGAATTTCCTGGTAATGCCGTTAGAAAAGCACAGTATGAAGAACTCATTGAACAGTACGACCCCGTGGCTCGTGTGGCCGCCGCTCAGACATACAGTCCATCAGTGACTGACCCACAAGACTATTCAGGACAGTCTTATTCACAGCCGGCTTATAGAGCCAGTTCTGGATCAGCCGCTTCCAGATCTAGAGCACCTGTAAGTCTAAGTCTTCCCTTTTACTACATGATTATGTGAAACATCTCTTTACTCTCACAACTTAACCCTCATTAAAAGCAACGACTTATTAGTTTCAGACAAATCATAATACTTTTACTCTACTATACATTCATTTTCAATTTATGGCTTAAACTAAAAGCTTAATTCTAACTATGGTTTCACTATATTCTGTGCTATGAATGCCATTTGAAAATCTGACTGACCTCTCGTTCAAACTATTTTTCATTTTCGTATTAATTATTTCAGATGTGTATTGACTTGAATGTGACCTAAAAATGTTGACTTCAAATGCAGCGCTAGAGTTAGAAAACACCCAAAATTTTACTTTTCATGTTTCAGACAATTGTTTGTTTTAATTCTCACTTAAGTCAAGAGTTTAATATAATAGTTAGTGTTAGACTCCAGTATTACATAACATCTATAATGATATGAAAAGGAATTTTAATTTCTGAGTAAATATTTTTAGACGAACTCTAAATCCATAAATTAACGACAAAAAACAGTGAAAACCTATTTTTTGCATAAAATATCAATAATTAGCTTCATCTGCGAGTTCATCGAAACGAAATAATCTGATTATGAAATTGAAAACTCATTAATCAATCAAGAGATTAGTTGCTAATTATTCAAAAACTTATTTATAACTTTCACTTTATGGTATATTAGTTTATTTCTGTAATAATGTTTATACGAATGCATGATAACATTGAAGATAATGTTTAGTTTGTTTTAATTTTTAAAATAAAATAATGAATCAAATGATGTGAACATTGATGTCTCGCAACAGTAATAGCAATTAGAGTGGAATGTCTTTTGAACACATTTTCTATTCATAATATTTTTTGCGATTATCATCGAAACAAATCAAACAAAATACAAATGAATGTTCAAAAACATTGTGTGGAAAGAGTTTACAAATAATGATTTCTCTTTATCTTTGTTTTTCCAACCATTAGATGTGATCATATTTACTGTCATTTATTTGCTTTAAAACACTGTGTAATGAATCGTTTTCTAAAATAAACTCATTTAGAAACGCTTTGCATAATAACATTGAAAAATAACAGATCGTATCAGACATTGACTCCGAAATTGTTTCAAAGTTAAGACAATTTAAAAACAAGAATCCTTTTGACGACTCAATCAAATGTATCAAATACTAAAGCTATCTTTGTTAGCAATTTACAAACTTTTATCATTTTGACAGACAATAAAACACACAATAAACATACATACCGTACATACATACATACCATTTATATACCGTATAAATACTTACAAAGTTTAATACATGATAAAATAATTAAATTGTTTTTTGATTAAAAGCAATACCAAAGCAGTAATAGTAAGGCAGAAGAAGAGGCCAAAAGACTCGCTGAAGAGGAAGAAGAGAAAAAGCCGGACAGACTTGCGCTCCTACTCCAGGAGTCGAAGTTCACGTGTGGGGACAAAAAAGACGGCTATTATGCGGACGAAAGGTATAAACGCAATGAGATTTGAATGGAAACTAAATTTGAATGCAAACTAAATTTGAATGCAAACTAAATATGAATTGTGTGTCAAGTGTTGGCTGTCAGGTGTTCCACTACTGTGTTGCCGGTGCTAAGCATAGCTGGCAGTGCCCCGAGAATACAGTCTTCCATCAAATTCACTTGAATTGTGTTCCGGCGGCACAGGATATCTGCACCCAATCATCAAAGTTTCATGTCGTCAACGACTACTTGTATAAAGTGAGCTATGATTGCAATTATAGAGTTAGGAAAGTATGTCATGTTTTACAATACTTTACTCCAATTACAACAGCCTTTAGAGCAAAGGGGACCCAATAATACCATTCGTTATCATCAGCGCTATTATCCCGAAGGCTTTGATTTTGGCGGAGATGTGTTATCTCAAGTGTTGCCTCCGAGTCAACCACAAAGACCAGCCTCTTCTCCCTACAACTCTAGAGACTCATACGATGAGGACTCGTATGAACCCCGAGGAAACTCTCGTTCCCAACCCGATAACTATCCCTCCTATCAGTCATACCCCGCATCGACACCAGTCAGAGCTCAGCCGGTGTCTCGTCCCATATATAAGCAACCGGTCGTTAGACAACCAGCGCCACAGACATACAGCGCGCCCTCCTATACAACTCAATCACAACCCAAACCGACGTCCAGACCTTCAACTTACTCGACGCCATCCCTATACGCCTCGACCTCTTACTCGGACGACTCGGACGCTTATGATACATATCCTTCTTCTGGAAGTAGCTATAATTCAAGAGATTCGTCAGACTATTCCTCGTCTGGCAACAGCTATTCATCTCCCAGTGCCAGCTACCCGTCCTCCCAATATTCAGGATCGTCGGGATCTTCCTCGAGCTACCCGTCATCGTCTGCCGGCTCATCGGCTGCTCTTTCGTCCTACCGTCCCATTCAAGCGGCAAAACCGGCATCATATCCGAGTCGATCCATCGGAATACCGATCGCCAGTTTCCGAGTGGCGGCGGCGCCCGCGCCCACAAACTACGGCTCCTCGGCTCAGGCGAGTCGAGTACGAGCGTCGGCCTATCCCTCGCCCACCGGCTTCTCATTGGGCGCCTTCAACAGCGAGATGGCCAGTGGTGTCAAATACGATGAGGAGTATTGAGGAGTAAATTATAATTCACTGATATTTTTCTATTTCATTGTTATAAATGGTGTTATAAATACAAATATATTTACAATTAAAAAATATAATAATTACAAAAATACTATCATTTCTCTCTCATTCTCTCTGTTCACTATAAGCACACAAATTGAGTATAATTATATTCACAATCAGGTCATCAGTCTTTTTGTTGTTGAACACCACTTAGTTTTTGTATTCAAAATATATTTTATACGTAAAATTAGTTTCGCTTCAGAGCTTCTCTCGATTTACCAGTGAGTGAGAGCTTATGGCTTAAGCTTAAGCCGTGCCAATTGTCACCATTACATCGCCCTTACCATC